CCACGCAGCTCACAGGGCCTGCACTATAAAAATACCTTGAGGTCACTGACTACCATGTGACTCTTCACCTGTGATGAGAATTTAAGCAGGAAAAATTCTTAGCATTTGTTAAACAAAGCTCTGTATCCTTCAAAAAATGTCTGCAGTCTTCTCTCTGAAAATACTAGCCAAAGAGTACGGACAGGGGACGGGAGAGTCCCACGTGTGCACATGCATTAACTTGTTTATGACTCACAGGCCCTTTTATGATTACCCTACTTACGTGTGGGAAGCCAAGACACGAAAAGAGTTCACTGCCAAAGGCACACGGCTGAAAGGTGGTGGGGTTCTGCCACCTGCTGTGTAAAATGAACAATGTCAGGCTGGCTGGGGTCCCCTTCCGCTTGGGCCACTGGGCAGCTCAGAGCCAAATGTGTGGCTCCCTGCAGTCACTGTTCCACGGCTGATGTGTCTATAGTCTCACTTCGCTTCATCTAGACTTCTCCATTTTATTTATATTTTACTGTTTCCTGGTGTTTTCTCCTACTGTCAACTAACTCAAGCTTGATAAAGTAAAGAAGAGCAAAACACACACACACACACACGCACACACATGAATATGTGTGCTTAAATGTTTCTGGGATGGACATTTTAAAAATAAACATTAAACACAGATAATTGTATCTCCATTGTCTAAGCAAGGTAGTGAATGTTTTCCTCATGACTCTTCAGCGGGTTTTGCCCTTACATGCTGTACACACTGGCCTTGGCCCCATGAAGTGGACACAGTGAACACACACGCAGGATGGTGATGTTCTCACGGGGGGACATCCTTCCCCTGTGGCTTATGCGTGACGCGGACTGCACCTGCTTCCAGCCCCGCCTTTGAGACGCCCGTCCCAGCTGAGAAGAACCACACTCAGTTCTGGGGGCAGCAGCGCCCTCTTCTGGCCACTCCTGTCCTGCCTCAGTACAATTTAGGGAGACCTAAAACTTCCCTCACCTCAGCTGAATTGCCTGCCTTTAGTTTAGCCCCATGCTTAGTCAGCTCCAGCAGGAGGAGAGGTGGAGACGACTTCTGACCCCCTTCCTGCCTGGTTTCTAAGGAGGAGGACAGTGTGTACACTGCCTGTGGGTGTGTGGGTCAGAAAATGCTTAGCAGCAACTGGTCTACCGCAAAATGACCTGCTGCTTCCCCAGAGCACTGACAACACCCAGTTCTCCAGGCTGTCGTGCCTGAAAGTGTTTTCTTCCTCTTTCTGTAACTAGGCAAAACAGTCTTAAGCATAGCCATAAAGCTGTCAAAAAAAAAAAATCACAGAAGGTATCTGAAAGTGTGCTCTAATGAGTTATTTGCTTAGATTAAAAACAATCCTTTGGTGGGATTTTTGCCAGGCAATGAAGGGCAAATGAAACTTCAAAGTGCACTGCTATGAAAATGATCGGCTCTGGCCTTCACAAAGACGAGAAGGAAGGCTGGTTTTAGCTGTCTGTGGTTTTGAGCACTCAGTGTGTGAACCATAGCGATGGCATCTGTGCCAGAGCCAGCTCCTGGTACCGACTTCCCCTCAACACGCCAATCCAGTCTTCACTCAGGGGGGACCCTCTTATCAGACACTGCTGCCTTTTGACATCCACAGAGATCTCAGGTATGGGTGTCCTGCAGAGGTGGTCAGCTAAGGATTATGGCCTTCTGCACATGAATCACATTCCTTGCTCATTCTTCTTATGCATGGATGAAACGGTTACCAAGAACCGAGCATGGATGACTAGTGCTCACGGGATGTTAAGAATGATTTCCTAACATATTTATGGGACTTACTATCCTGTCAGGGAAATACCTTTTTGTAAAGTGGGAGGGAGTTGCTGCTCTCATTTAGAGTAACTTTATACATTACATTGTAATTTAAAAAGAAATTGCATGTATGTCTCCAAGACATACAGTCAAGACTAATAGCCAAGGTTACTTTAGTTTCTTCTCCTTCAGCACTCTGCACGTTTAGAGTAGAGTTCTGCTTGCTCCAGCAAAGGATCAAGAATGGGAAATTATTCAGGTCCAAGGCAAATGCCCCACACCTCAACAGGCCCTTCCAGGTGGGCATCACTTGAGGTTGTTGCTCACAAATTGAGGAGTGCAGAGGCCTCCCGGGCCAGCCTCCCCCACAGTCAGATGAAACGAGGACACCTCAGACCGAAAGCTCCTCCCACTTCCCCCTTTGTTCTGACTCAACCTGAATCAGCCATCAGCTGCAAAGGCCTGAAGGTGACTCTTGGGGATCTGCTTCCTCATCACACTCACGGGTGGAGGGGCTTGGAATGTGGGAGCTAAGCTCATTCAGCAGGTATGTGTGCCTTGCTCTGGCATCCAAGGGCCTGGGAACATCTCAGTAAACACGACAGGCAGAAGGATTGCTCTTCCTATCAAAAGACAAGCCAAGTTTGTGAAATGATGGACATCGTCTGCATTTCCATCACTTCCAGTAGCATTCACGTTCAACCCTAAATAATAGCTCTCTAAACTGAATACCTCTCTGAAAAGGTTAAGGAGGGCTGCGTTTGGAAGGGCTTCAGGAATTATGTCATCTTCATAGTGTATGGAAAGGGCTGACTACAGAAGAACTTTCAATGTTATATTGTATCCACGCTGTATATATACCTACACATACGTGTGTGTATGTGTGTGTGTGTGTGTGTGTGTGTGTGTGGGACGGTAACGGAACTGCTGCCATTGTTACTAACAATTTTCAAGGCAATTATCAAGGGGGATAATGAGAAAGATGATGCTTGCTTTAAAAAATCAGTAGGCTTAGCCAAAATAATTTTAGAACTCACTTTTATTTATATGTAAAACCTAAAATTGGCCATTTGTCTTCATGCTTTTCGATTATGTCTTTATATATGTAGCTGAAATATATGAGTAAAGAGGTCATCTAAAGGAATTTTTATTCTAGACTTTTAGAGGCAGACTTATTCTTAAAATCATCAAGGCTGGGACATCTCCTTCAAACTCACAGCTTGTCTATTCGAGGAAACCCTCAGTGCTCTGCAGAGTGCACGCTGCTGCTCCTAGTCACAGACGCAGCTGCCTTCAACTCCTGCTTCTTCTTCCTCTGCCACTAAGGATGGAAACCCTACTTCCTAAAGGCAGCGGGTTACGCTGAGGCACGCCTCCAAGAAAATTCCCATAGAGATCATCAGAAAGTACGCAGAAGCAAGCGGAGCAGCAAACCCCTTTTGCACTTGCCTGTCTCATTTCTAGTCAAGGAGCCCTCATTGCTTTCAGTCTCTGGGCCTTTGGGTTATGTTGACTTTCATGGACACTTAAGATACTGAAACAGTGGGCATCACCACTTCTATTTTATGTATGCTCTGTCGAGAAGGACAGAATTATAGAAAAGAAAGGACTTTTGAAAAAGAGCAAGTTAATCAGGAACAAAAATTTGGCATAATTACCTTGCCTAACAAGTGAAGTATAAAGAACGGCCTTTCCATAAATAAGCAAAGACCAGGCTAGGGAATGTGGCCAGGAAGCCTGCTTGCCTTGAGTGTCATCTGTAACCTGCAGGCTGGGCTGATCTTGGGGAAAGAGATGCGTATTTTAAAAAGTAGCCAGAAAATCACTCCTTTTTCCTTCAACCTACAGTGAGTTCTCAGGATCTTAACACATTTCACAGCACCCCTTTTTCTCTTTGCTTTAGGAATACATGGAGAAAATCAGAGAGCTGTGTACAGCAGAACAGACCTGCCCTGAGTGTCTTCAGAGCCCTGTGGTCTTCGGCAAGTCACTGAGCCTCAGTGTCATGATAGGAACGGCATCAATGTCAACATCAAATGAGAACACGGTTGCTCACTCACAGGGGAAGCAGGAACAAAGATGAATGCTGACATTGCGTCTTAGTTCATTTTCTGTTGTGATAACGGAATATCTGAGACTGGGTAATTTATAAAGAAAATAGATGCATTCCTTACAGTTCTTGAGGCTGAGAAGTCCCAGGGCATGGCACTGGCATCTGCTCAGCTTCTGGCGAGTGTGTCCTGACATGGGGGTGGTACTATATGGTGCCACAGAGCGAGAGCTGGCTCAGGCCTCTCCTCTCTCCTTAAAGCCATGGTCTCATCAGGGGCCCCACCCCAAGGCCCTGATGACTCAGTCTCTGCTCCTTGTTACATCCCAAAGGCCCATGTCCAATTAACATAGAAATTTAAGGATTAAGTTTCCAACACACGAAATTGGGGGACACATTCAAACCATAAAAATACGTAAAGGCAATTTATATTCAATAAGGCAATACAAAAAAGTAAAATTTTGCAGACAACAGTTATTTCCCAATGGCTTCTGCGTCACTCTCTGCGGTTAAGATAAACACCACAGCATCCAGGCTTTGCTGTAATCTCACTTCCTCATTAGTTATTTTTTACGAGCACTGCTAGGCTTCCCAGTGCTCACATAGGGCTGGACAAATAGATGATCAGAGAAACACAATATAGTGAGGCAAAGCTGGGAAATGCAGAGTGTCTGTGTGTGCAACAAGGCATGTAAGCAAAAACAGAGCCGAGATGGGAAGGGATTGCAGGGGGGGAGGCAGGGCTGTATCTGCCACTTATCTACACAGCCAACATGTTCTTTTTTTAAGACAGGCTCTTACTCTGTCACCCAGGCTGGAGTTCAGCGGTGCAATCACAGCTTACTGCAGCCTTGACCTCCTGAGCCCAAGTGATCCTCTTACCTCAGCCTCCCAAGTATCTGGGAACACAGGTGCATGCCACCACACCTGGCTAATTTATTTATTTTTTGTAGACCACAAGATCTCATGTGTTGCCTAGGCTGGCCTTGAGCTCCCAGGCTTGAGCAATCCTCTTACACAGACCCCAAGAAGTATGGGATTATAGGCATGAGCCAATGAACAGAGCCTCTATGTTTTTAGTAACAAGAACAGATCTGTGATTACCCATGCAATTAAAAAAACAAAGGCTTCCCCAAGCCTTTAGGGCGCCATGTTTCCAACGTCTGTGTCACCTACCAAACACTTCGTTGTCCTCTGAGTTCATCTGCGAAAGTTCACCCAGCTTTCTCTTTTTTTCAGATTCTCCTCTGTTAGTCTCACCATTCTGGAAAAAGAAAACACAACAAACCCCTTTCTTAAGATAAACTGTTTTATCAACAAAATAACGGTAATAAATTTGTCTCTATACATTTTTTATCGGATAAGCAATTTCACATCTGTTTTCAAGGTAGAATGTAGAGCTTTGGTCCAGAGGTGGGTTTTCTGCACAGGTGGGTTTTCTGCACAGGATTCTGAATTCTTGCTTATCTTCTCTGCCTAAACACCTAAGCACTTTCTTGACCGAGTTGATATAGTTTTATAAAAAAAATTTGGAATATCATTCTAGGTAAAATAAATTAGCTACACCCCATCCTATTTATTCCAGGGGTGGGCCCACAGTCACTGCTTTAGATTCCAAGTGACACCGTGAGGCAGAGCTGACACAGCCCTTCCTTCTCCAGTTACACCTTTGCTAACTGGAACCAGTCAGGACCACTTTGATGGGAGAATGGGCCCTTTTGGGGACAGAAAATGAAGCTGGTGTCGGGAGGCACCTTTGTATTCCGGGGGAGGGAAGCAGCCACTGTGGAACGGCCCCCACTGCTCCTTTGGGAATCTGCGGCCTCGGAGTTTCTTCCCTGTCTTCTGGGCCTCCCTTTGCCTGTTGCTGGGGCCCGAATGGTAGTATGAGCTTGTTTTCTGAGTTTAAAATGTTCAGGACACAGTTCGATCACCAGTGCAGAGACAAGATACGGTTCAGCGTCTTTATATTTTTGTGATATCAATTTTACTTGACTATTTTGAAATGTCACGCTTGCACATTACAGGATTAAAATCCTCTGGAAAGTGCACAGTGGCCATATGCTGAAACCCCAGGGCCTCCTGGATGCCGCTTTCTCTTTGGGAGACAGCCGGCATTTCCAGCTTCTTCCAGGCTTTGCACAATCGTCTGTGCACCTTCAGACAATTACACATGCGTATTCTTTTCCCTCGGCTTCATCTTCACATACGTGGCATCACACTGCGGATGACGCCCTCCTTCTTGCTTCTGCCTGGGAGCCAGGGGTCCTGGAGGCGGCTTCACGTCGGCAGCGCAGAGCTGCCCGCACAGCCCGCGAGCACTTCCGTCACGGCTCGCACCTCTCCAGGCTCCAGCACCACCATGCAGCTTGTTCCCATTTCTGTCTTTCGATCCTAACCACGTTGCCCCAATTCCTGCTCACTTCTCAGAATGCACATGGGCAGGGAGCATTTCTGGAGGAGGATTGAGTCACACTGGGTTTTCACTGGGTGGGTGTCAGTGCTGCGGGCAGCTGCGCCGGTCCTGCTGCCACCCACCAGCAGCGCAGGCGGCTGCTTCTCTCGGGGGCTGCTCCCCTCTGGGGGCAGCGCCCCACCCTGGTCTCTGCACTTGACTCTATACCAGTTTTCCACACCAATCTCTCATTTCCGAGGAGCCTGTAACCCAGGATCATAAGATGCGCATAGTTTCAATTTTACATAGTCTCAAGCCCTTCTGGGCAGAGGGGCAGGCACAGCCATTAAGTCATACTAGGTCTGAAGTCTGAGTCACAGGGAGTGTGATGCACTGATGTACTTACTGCAGTGTGTTTGTTCCCGGAGAGAAGCCAGCCCTCTGAGCTCACATCAGCTAGGGTCCCGTGGTCCTGCTCCTAGTCACTGAGAGCCCTCTCGTGTGTGTGTGCGCGTGCGTGCGCGCGCATGTGTGCATGTGTGTATCAGGGTCTTCATTCCCACCCCTGGGCAGATGGGAGGGGATGGGTGGGCGAGGTCCCCACCAACCAATGTGTACGGTATTATGTCCACAAGCCAATGCTGTCTAGTGTGATGAACACACTGAAAACACAGGGGTTACTGAAGTCACAACATTGAGGAGGGAGGAAGTTGCCTTCAAGGTGTGAAATAAAATTGTGAAGAGGGCACTGGTTTGGGCTGAGTCCGTGCACCAGGCCCAGCCGATGCCCCCAATATGAAGTACGGCACCAAGCCCAAACAAAGATCTTCATCTGACCTTCTGAGAAACCAGGAGAGAGAACAGCCCAATTTCCAAGCAGGCCAGGTTTGGCCCGGATGATGAGGAAGTCCCGTCTGTTCTAACCTTTGCAGGGGAGTCACTTTGGAACCACCCACCCATCCGCCCGCATTTTGTTGTGTGTCTGCTTTCCTGAGTCTCTGTTTAGAAACCAGCCTCCTCTGCTCAGCTCATCGGAGCACTCATTCTGTTTTGTAGAAAGAGGTGTTGCCGGATTCTAGAATGACAAGTAACAGCCAATGAAGGCTTCTACATTTGTTGTAACTTTGTCTCCACCTGCCAGGCTTCTGCTACGGGATGGCTGGTGTAGAAACCCAGGCGCTGCTTTCCAGACCTCGAGTCACAGAGTTCCAGGAGACTGTTATTACTAAGTAATGAAATGCAGAGAATGTTCCAACTCGCTGAGAATGGAGGAAATACAGAGCAAAACAAACATGAGATTTCAACGCAGCAAAGTAGGAAAAAACTGACTCCCAGCATTGCTAGAGACGGAGAGGGACAGGAAGTTTTCTGGGACTGGAATAAATGCTCTCAGCCTCTTGCAGCCTCACCTCGGGGCCTCTGACCTCACCGCCCGTGGCTTCCACGCTTCCAGCTGCCTGTGACCTTCCGTGGATTTTCAGTGTCTCTATTACAGAAACTCACGCAACAGCCCATTGGTTTGTCCACCTCCCTGTGCTGCTGTGAACAGGTGAACATTGTCCTTGAGAACAAGAACCATGCCTTACACACCTTCCTACCCTCACACCTAGCACAGTGCCTGGCACCCAGTGAGTGCTTCTGAAACACAGTTAAAGTGGATTGTTTCTGTTTCAGCAGAGGGAGCCAAAGATAGCTGATTATGTATACAGCTTTTCATATCTATCCGGTTAATTTAGAAGACAGTAAAACTTGGAAAAGAAATAATTTCCCAGTAGTCTTTCCTCAGCTACAGATTCATGTCATGTTTTTTACATCTAGCTTCTATGCTAATATAAAGTTATATTCTTCACTAATTACAAAATACTAAGTGTTGTTTAAGAACTAATGAAATACGATTCAGCTGCCGTTGTTATAGATCGTAGCTGCATTCTCTTCATGCTAATGTTTTTCCAACAGGGACAGCGCTAGGACAGCCCTTCCCACGGCGGGTAGCACAACGCTGCGTCTTAGAAATGAGGCATTTCGGATACAGAGGGAAAGCTGATATTCAAAGCGCATCACTTTGCTTTAAGTGCGTGGAGGGGATAACCCAGCGACAGTGACCTCCCTGTGTCCACTTCCCAGGCTGGTTTCGAGGGCGGGGGCAGCAAAGTGTGAGGAGGAACTTTGTGTCCCGTGTGCCAGCTTGTGCCCAGGTTGGTCCCATGGCGATGGTGCATCTGCTCTGTTCATCCGTCACATCGAAGTGGCCACAGGTGTACCCTGAATAGTGACAGCAGATGGGACTCCAAATCCTCCCTTTTCTCTGCCTTCTCAACTCAACTCTCTGATGGTTAAACATCTCCAGGTCACACAGGGGCGCAAGATGTGTGCAGAAAGTACACACTGGCCTGGGAAATTTCGTGACTAATTTCTACTCAAATATAAGGCTTGTTTTTGAGACCTGATGATGCTATTTGAAAAATATAAAATATTCCCTTATGATGAACACATTTCCTGTAAGCCAAATGTCTACTAGGAAAACAAACACTGGAGGTGATGTGTCAAAAGCGATGTGATTTTCGTGATGAGAAAACAGGAGCTTCCTGCAGACGGGGGCAGATTTTCAAGAGAGGTGGGTCCTGGCGGTTCAGGCCCTCCGTGCCTCATTGCCCAAGTGAGTCCAAATCCGAGTCCAAATGGATTCTGTGACTGCAGGTGTCAATAGGCATTTCAAGCCATGATGGCTCCTTCATACGTTTGCAGCAACCTTCTTTTCCGTCAGCCTACATATGTGGGAGCTGACCTAAGTAAGAACCTATGTCCTATCCGTAACAATTTTGGAAGGTGTGTGGGAGTTTTCTGCAGAAGCCCCAGGAAACGGGCACATTCCCCACATTGCAAGGAGCATCAACAGCTCGGGACGTCACCATGCATGGTGAAGATGACAGAGAAAAAAGTCTATTTTTTGGAACAAAGGAAATGATAGTCTCCTAATCGATTATAAACCAGTAATCAGTCTCATTTTCTCTGTGAGTAAAAACGCAGAAACAAAAAACCTCTACCCGGCCTTGACCTCTAACCCCTTAAGTGGCAAGCTTTCCCCGGGGGTCAGCATGGCCCTGCACAGGGACCTGGGGCAGGCCAGGGAAGGGGCCCTGGGAACTCACAGGTGAATGCTATACTATATTAATAAATACCTTGAATATGCCCCTCTTAAAGCACGACCCCATGTCTCATATTCTAAATCAATTATATCTTAGTTTTAAATAACCGTCTCAACCAAACCTCTGCCAACTCAACTTTTAAGGCCCCGAATCCCCAGAATTCCACCCTCTCCGGCCACCCGGAAGCACAATTCAGTTGTCTTCATCAGAACCGAGTGGAGAAGCAAAGGACAGCATGGTGTCAAACCTCCCAAAGCCAGTCACAGCCGGGACGCCGGCGGGCGGAATCCGGGTTGGTTTTGAGGACCTGGCTCAGCTGCTCACTCCTGCATAGCCAGAGCGTCCAGTCACGTCTTCGAGGTCTCCTACTTGGAACGGCTATTCACATACGTGCCCACACATGGCACACACGCCCGCCCACACTGTAGTGAAAATACTCTTATAATCAGCCTTACATTTTTAAAAGATTGATGGTCTGGAGGTAGCAATTTCAGGAGGGATGGTCCAGAGGTAAGTTTCTACTCAATCACCACAGAAAAGGCTGTGGGAGAGGAAACCCTTGCTGCACATTGTTACAAACACTACACAGTGTATTCCCCAAGTCCCGATTCACACTACAAACTACTTCTCAGGAGAGGAAAGGGTTGAAGCATGTTACAAAGAGACTTTCACCTGCAAAACCTGTTGTATGCTATACTCAGAGTCAGGGTCTGCCACAGGCTG